GAACCTAAAAATCAAAATAAGTGAGCAAGAAATCTAATGAACAAAATAAACTGATGAATAAAATAGAATCAGAGGCATGGAAACATGGAACAGACTAACTAATCTCAGAGGGAAGGGGGGAGGGGCAGGAAGAGATTAACTGAAGAATTTATATGCATACTAGAGGCCCGGTGCACGAAATTAGTGCACCTAAGGGAGGGTTCCCTCAGCCCAGCCTGCACCCACTACAATTGGGGGATGTCTGACTACCAGTTTAGGCCTGACCCCCAATGGTTGGACACCCCTCTCACAATCTGGGACCGCTGGCTCCTAACTATTCATCTGTCTGCCCACCTGATCACCCCTAACTGCCTCTGCCTGATTGCCCCTAACTTCTCTCCTTTCCAGTCCGATCTTGCCCCCAACTGCCCTCCCCTGCCATCCTGATCTCACCCTTAACTGCCCTCCACTGCCAGCCTGGTTGCCCTAAACTGCCCTCCTTTGCCAGCCAATTTAGTTCTGATTGGTCGGTTTCTATGCCAGTCAGCGTCAAAAGCTCTGCCTCCTAGGCAGCCATTGGCTTCTCACAGTTGACCCAGATTTGGTTCTGATTGGTCAGTTTCTCTATCTGTCAGTGTCAAAAGTTCTACCTCTGAGGCAGCCATTGGCTCCTTACATTCACCCAGATTTGGTTCTGATTGGTCAGTTTCTATGCCAGTCAGCATCTCTGGGCCTATCAACGGGGCCTGATCAGAAAGGCAGGGCTGGTCAGAAGCCCCAGTGGAGGCCTGGAGAGAAATGGAGGCACAGCTGTTGGCCAGGCCAGGAGCGAAAGAGAGGCAAGTTCTGATCAACAGCTGCCACAGAGGCTATGAATCAGCCCCTGCCTCTCTCTGCAGGCTTCTCTCCGGGCCTGATCTGCAGCCCCCTAGGCAGTCATGCTGGGTCAGGGCTCCCGCAGCAGCCCCAGTCAGTGCTGGGTCGCCATGGCAACCCAGCACTGACTTCCTGTCTGGTTGAGGCTTCTGTGGTAGTCAGTCATTATGACCCTGGCTCTTTACTATATAGACTAGAGGCCCGGTGCACAAAATTTGTGCACTCGGGGTCGGGGGGGTGCATCCCTCAACCCGGCCTGCGCCCATTTGCAGTCCAGGACCCCTTGGGGGATGTCCACTTGTCTGTGGGAGAAATGTTGCTTTCTTTATTGTTAAGAAACCAAACCTAACTTCAACTTCAGCCCCCATTCTGCCAAGTGAAAAAACAAAAACAAAATATTGTTCAACTTAAGTTCCCCACCCCCTTTTCTGGAGTTGTACTTCCATGTCAGACAGTTTATATCTCAGGCAGAGGTGCCAAAGAACCGAGCAGGGTCAAGAACATCTGGACCTCAGTCTTCTTTCTGGGCTGGCCCCCACCCAGCTGCCCTTGACCCTCACCTCAGAGCTCAAGTCCATGCTGATTCCTGGTATATTCTCCTCATCTGGGCCTTGAGGTCTCTTGAGTCCAATTTGCTCTCTCCCTCCTTCCCTGCCAACTTCTCTCTCTCACACAAAGAGCTATTGGGCTTTCTGGGGTGAGGTCCTCTGACACCTCCTCAGCCCTGTTGCACGAACACCATCTTGGTGCCTTGGTCACGGCCACAAAGCTGTGTGGCTGCTCTCAGACTCTCCATCTCCTGCTGCCTTAGGGAGTGAAAATCCACTCACCTAAGAAAAT